AATTGGGGTTCAACCTGACAGTCAGAAAAGCAAAATACCCAGCCAGTGGCTTTTACCTTTACCTCAGTCTGAAATTGTGATCTTGCCTCCAGAAATCTCTAAATGAGACTGTGTCTGAGAGCTGTCTCCTTTTGTCTTATATTCCACTCTGGTGCTGGGATTAAAGGTGTGCACCACTACCAACTGGTTTCTATGGCAAACTAGTGTGACTATTGAGATTAAAGGTGTGTGTCACCACTGCCTAGTCTGTAAGGCTGACCAGTGTGGCTGCTTTACTCTCTGAACTTGAGGCAAGCTTTATTTATTAAAATAAAAGTCAAATAAAATATCAATACATGGAAACCTTTTGAAATTTTTGATCTTTTGCCATACATACAAATGCAAAAAACAAGAAAAAAATGTACAAATATGACCTATTTAAAACCCCCTAATAATAATCACTACCTCCTTGCTCTTAAACTGTTACTCTGAATTTGGAAAATGCTAGTTTCTTTGAGCAGAAATGCCCTGCACCTCAAGGGACTTATAGATTCGGGGTCTGGTGATATTTCCATATCAGGGTCCTGGAATGTTCTCTAATACAAACCGTGTTTGAAGCAGGAGGATTTCAAGTTCCATATCAGTTAAGCTCCTGCTTTAAAAAGGAAAGTAAGCTGGACATAGGGACATACAACTTTAATCCCAAGAGTTACAGAGGCAGGCAGATCTCTTGAGTTTTCAAGGCCAGCCTGGTCTACACAGTGAGTTCCAGAACAACAGTCAGAGCTACACATTGAAACTTTGTCTCAATATTTAAAAAAGAAAGAAAGGGGACAGGGAAGGTAAGTAAATAAAACCAAGTGTAGTAGTACACTGTTTTTAATGCAAGATGATCAGAGAGGCTCAAGTTCATTCTCTCACATGTAGAGTTCAAGGCCAGGCTGGGACTGAGACCCTGTCAGTCTGTCTCTCTCTCTGTGTCTACATATATGTATTTATGTGTATATATATTTAGACACATACACAAAAGGAGGGCTGAGGGTACAGCTCAGTACATAAAGTGCTTTACCTATCCTTCACACACACAAAAAGATCACCAGACGGAGACGGAGGCAGGAGAATTTGAAACTTCAAGTCAGTCTGGGCAACTTAAAAAAGATAACATCAAAAAAGGATGGGACGGGACTATAGCTCTGTGGAAGGGGATTGCCAGGCACAATGCAAGGCCTTGTGTTCAACTCCTAGCACAAAATAAATGTGTGAGGCAGGCATGGTGGCACATGGTTGCAATACCAAACTTGGGAAGTAGGCACAGAAAGACTATGAGGCCAGCCTGGGGTACTAAGGCTGACCCTAGTAGGGATAATTAGCCTTTCCCAGTAATGACTCCCTAAATGGTCATTCAACCCAAATGGTTAACCTTAAAAACAAGTACATGCAAGTAACACTAAATGGACTCAGCAGGTTGTATGAATTTGGGGGAGGGGCAAGACATGGAAGTGATTGGAGGGAGGAGATCATGTTAAAACACACACATACACACACACACACACACACACACACACACACACACACACACACACAGAGGTTTTTTGAGAAGGGTTTCTCTGTGTAGCTGTCCTGGAATTCAGTTTGTAGACCAGGCTGGCCTCGAACTTACAGAGATTTGGATAGTTGGTGGTGGCACTCACCTTTAATCCCAGCGCTAGGGAGGCAAAGGCAGGAGGATCTCTCTGAGTTCGAGGCCAGCCTGGTCTACAAGAGCCAGTTCCAGGACAGGATCCAAAGCTACATCGAAACACTGTCTCGGGGAAAACAAAACAAAACAAAACAAAAAACCCTTAGAGATCTGCCTGCCTCTGCCTCCCAAGTGATGGAATCAAAGGCGTGGGCCACCACTATCCAGCATATAATTATATTTTAATTAAAATAAAGGTTCGTTGGGCTGAGGATTTTTCAGGCCCTGGATAAATCAGCACCACACAAACACAAAAAGGTTCATAACTTCCAGAGAAATCTACCTAATATCTAGCGTCCTGAAAACAAAGACCCTCAACCAAGTGACCCTAGCGAAAAGGAGTAAGATAAAGAAACAGTGCAACTAAGGTTCATTGAATAATCTCCACTTCGAGTCACTGTGTTCCAGGTCCTTGATAGAAAAGATCTCACTGACACACACCACAAACTTGGCAAGACAGGTACACACATGAAAGAGGTAGAAAACAAGACCTTAGCGCTTAACTCGCTGGGGTTAGCACAGCCAACTCGAGAGTCAAACCTCAGCTGTCATACTGTCCTCACCACCACGATGAATTAACAAGTCAGGGTAGTTGTTAGGGCTAGAAAACTGGTAAACATTAAGGAGCAAGCTGCAAAACCGCCTGACCGGAGCACCAGAGCAGCCAGCCCACGAACAAGGCACTACTGACTCACATTTAAACGAAGAGTCGGGCCGCCAAACTGAACTGTCAGGCATCAACCACCCTCGAAGTTCAAAGGAATCTTGTCACCCCACCCCTGAGCCACAGGTCCTCCAACGCCAGAATCTGGGCGAGTCTGGAGCCCCCGGGTCCCGCGGCACCTCGTGCCCCCTGCCCGCGCGGCCACCAATGCCCATGAACGCAGAGCTCCTCGCGGCCTCCCGCCCCCGGGCTTGCGGCCTAGGCCGGGGCCGCCCACTCCGGCCCACCGCGCCGCCTCCCGGCCCGAGGCCCCGCACTAACCGTTGTATGGTTTCCCCTCGTCCGCCATGGCACAGGCAGGTACAGAGGCGGACTCAGGCTCAGTACCTGACGCCACCAAACGCCCGGACGCCCCGGCGCTCAAGACAGAAGCTCTCCTACCACCGGCGCCACCGCATTTATCCGGCGAAGCACGTCGCGCGCTGCCGACGTCCCCAGGATGTGGGCGGTGCCGCGGGGCGGGAACGCGCTCTCCGCGCCTGCGCAGAAGCAGAGCGGCCTCGCGGGGGTGGGGCCAGGCCTTTCGAGGCCCGCCCACAGCCGGAGCTCCGGGCTCGTTGGCTTGCTGGCCGGCCCCGCCTTCCTGCTTCTCCACTGAGCCCGGTGATTCGCGGGTCTCCCTGGAGCCGAGCTGGTGGCTATAGCCCTGAACTCAGAGCAGGGACGAGGGCCAACAGAAGAATGGAGACCTGGCCTCAGTGGGAATAACGGCTCACAGTCCCTGCCGGTGAGATCCCAGCAGCTTGTAAGACGCAGCTGAACTCCTTGCCAGCCGCAGGCCTAAGCCCTCCCAGCTTTCCTCGACTCTACGATGGATTATGACGAAATAGAAAATGGAATGTAAGCTCCACCGAAACAGGAACCTTAAGTAAAGCACAGCTTTTCTTCCTGCAGCACTCCTAGCTCCGTATCTTGCCAAGCGTAAAAACCCGTGTGAATTAAAATCTAGTTCCTTGTAGGTCCTTCACAAATTGCCCGATCAAAAAAGACGTAATCAGGCCGCGAATGATGGGAGCACAACTTTATCCTAATATTTGGGTCGCAGAGTTGAGGCCAGCCTGGTCTACATATAACTTTCGAGAACAGCCAGAGCTATGTAGGGAGATCTTGCTTTAAAAAAAAAAAATCAAAACAACTGGGTATGGTGGTGTAGGTCTTCAGTACTTGGGAGCTCAAGGCCAACATTGTCCACGTAGCAAATATAGGAACAGCCAAAGCTACATAGCAAGATCCTGTCTCCAAACAAAAACCTGTCGGGGATATATAGTGAGCATTGGTCTTTACACTCGAGGACCTGTCATCATCCCTACTGGGTAGACCCCTCAGCTACATAGGCAGGGAAAGTCTCTAACAGTGATACAGTGATATTCCCGTACTTCCTGCCTTGAGACAGGGTTTCTCTGGAAATTCAGGAGATCCATCTGCCTCTTGTCTCCAGAGCACTAGGATTAAAAGTGTGCCACCAGCTGGGCGATGGTGGCACACGCCTTTAATCCCAGCACTGGGGAGGCAGAGGCAGGCGGATCTCTGTGAGTTCAAGACCAGCCTGGTCTACAGAGCTAGTTCCAGGACAGGCTCCAAAGCCACAGAGAAACCCTATCTCAAAAAACCAAAAAAAATAAAAATAGGGGGGCTGGAGAAATGGCTCAGTGGTTAAGAGCACTGACTGTTCTTCCAAAGGTCCCGAGTTCAATTCCCAGCAACCACATGGTGGCTCACAACCATCCGTAAGGAGATCTGGTGCCCTCTTCTGGCCTGCAGACATACATGCAGACAGAATACTGACAATACTGTATATACATAATAAATAAATCTTAAAAAAAATAAATAAAAATAAAAAATAAATAAAGTGTGCCACCACTGCCCGGTGTGATTACAAATTTTTAAATGGCAAACCCAAAAGCTCTTATAGGAAATAACCTTCAGGCTGGGAGGTGGTGGCTTATGCCTTTAATCCCAACACTGAGGGAGGCAGAGGCAGGTGGACCTCTGTGAGTTCAAGGCCTTCAATGTGGCTAGGACACACTCTATGTTGGCCTGAGGTTCCTGGGATCCAGATGCTGCTGAGGGGACAGCAGTAGGCGTGGAACAGTGGCTTCCATACTAATCAGTTCGGACAGAGCAGCTCATTAACCTCCCTTGAGGGTCTGTGGTAGGTGGGTCGCCTCCATTTTTCAGTGGCTGGTTTGGATTTGCTGAGGGTCTTAGAAGGTGCCAAAAACTGGGAACAAGTTCTCTTCTGCTCCCAGCAACAGAGGTCCTGCTTCACTTAGTTCAAGAATCAAGCTAAGTGATCTGAGAACACAGATGAAAACAGCCCCAGCACTGCTTGAGATGGTCCTGGAAGTTGCCACCCAATGATGAAGCCATTTGGCTCCAGTTCAAAGGAAAATTCTTCTAATAAAGTTCTGTTGTATTTGCTCCCTTTCTAGGAGGGAGTTGTGGGTAAAGAGCCCCAAAAGTACCCTGCTTATCCGTGGGGCCCTTCAGAGCCACCAACTCTACCCTACTGGTTCTGGTACCGGGCACGACCCCACCCAGAAATGACAACGTCACTAGTGAGGCTGACAGTCTTGCTGTAATTGGGAGGAAACAGGCTGCAGCACATTTGGCAGATTGAGAGTCACCAGTAGCCAAAGTCAGGTTTGTGCAGGCAACTGAAGGGCTCAGAGCCCCCTCACTTCACATGGTGAACAGAGGGAGGCAGTCAAGTTCTAACCTGATGGTAAAGTTGGTCCCTGGGATAGTTTTGTCTCCTTGCCTCACTCTCAAGGAGGCAAGGAGGGCATTATCTCCCCTTGCTGCCAAAGTTACCTTTGGGGGAGGCTGGTAAGGTTTTTATAAAAATCTCCTTGTGGAGACAACCTCCTCCACTGGCCCCTAGCTGGCTTCTGCTCCCAGCCACTTCACAGCAGAGTCCAAATCCAGAACCAGTGTGTTTCAAGGGCCTGAGGGGTAGGACAGAGTGGCCAAAGACAAGGGCGGGAAACAGGGACACTGGCCATTCTTAGCAGTTCCAAGGAAATGGCCTTTCTCCCAACCACCCTACACGGGCTCAATGGCAACAGTGGCCACCTGCCCTCCCAGGAGGGTCCCAAGCCCTCCATGGAGTGCCTCAGAGTGAGTGAGGGTTCAGGCAAGGAAGACCACAAAGATGATGAAGAAGACAATGAGGATGAGGAAGATTTTGACCATGAGCCACCGATTAGAGGTGACTGACTGGAAGTACTTGAGGATCTCTGAATGGGCGGCCTCAACATCCAGCTGGGCTCCAAGCACGTTCTCATCGATCCTAGAAACAGCCAGGAGAGAAAACAGGACATCGGATTAAAAAGAAAGCTGAGGTCATCTATTTACTGCTATGGAAAGGTGATCACAATGCACAGAAATAAAAAGTGTTTCATGTCATGTGATCTCTTTTGTATACATGTATGAGTATATAGAAGAGTATATACAAGTATTTAGGGTAGTAGACCATGCTTGGCTCTAGTATGAAACCTTTCTGTCAGGTTTTTTTTTTTTTTTTTTTTTCCCCGTTTTTTGAGACAGGGTTTCTCTGTGGCTTTGGAGCCTGTCCTGGAACTAGCTCTGTAGACCAGGCTGGTCTCGAACTCACAGAGATCCGCCTGCCTCTGCCTCCTGAGTGCTGGGATTAAAGGCGTGCGCCACCATCGCCCGGCCTGTGGGTTATTATCTTAAGATTGAGTTATTTAACCAAAGTCTTATTTTCCACATCTGAAAAATGAGATTGCCATAAACAACCCTACCTCCTTTCATGAGGTTTCCATTTTCAGTGAGTTAAATATGAGATGCACCCCAATCCATATGAGCACCTAAAATACCTTTTTGTGTGTGTGTGGTTTTTCAAGACAGGGTTTCTCTGTGTAGCTTTGGAGCCTGTCCTGGAACTTGCTCTGTAGACCAGGCCAGCCTCGAACTCAAAGATCCACCTGCCTCTGCCTCCTGAGTGCTGGGATTAAAGGCATGTGCCATCACCACCCGACATAAAATATGTAATTTTTAATCTAGCATTTGTTTATTTTTTTCCAGGTAATGAACATTTATTACTTTTATTTTTGGTTTTGTTTTGTTTTTTAGCATTTTCAAGTCAGGGTTTCTCTGTGTAGCCCTGGCTGTCCTGGAACTCATTATGTAGACCAGACCTGCCTCTGTGTTCCAAGTGCTGGGAGTAAATTTGTGTGCCACCACACCGGTGAACATTGTTATAATGGGGGTAAAGTTCAGACCACTACAGTAAGAAAATTCCGGCTGGGGGATGAGGACAACTTAATATAGACAGGAACTCAAAGAATAATACAAACCTTACATCCAGAGAGCAGTGTCTCTGGGGAACAAGTCCTCAGGGGAAGGATGATTTTGAAAACTTACTGAAGAAAATAAAACCTTCTCTGGACAATCTATGCGCACAATCCTAAAACCCAAGTATTGTGGCTGGGCAGATAGCTCAGTAGGAAAAGTGCTTGCCTGGCAACCAAGAGGATCTGAATTTGGATCCCAGTACCCACATAACAAGCTGGCCATGGTTTTACCTTGTCTATACCTACAATACAGTGGGTGGGAGGAGAAAATAGGAAAAAGTTGGGTTTCATTGGCTACCCGAAAAAAAAAAAAAAACAAGTTTCAGGCTAAGGGAGACCCCTACCTCGAAGAACAAAGTAATAGGGAACATCTGACGCTTTCCTTTAGCCTACAGCACACATGCAAGTTCTAGAGCAGGCTCCAAAGCTACACAGAGAAACACTGTCTATTTCAGATGATTCAGACACCCTGCCTACCTAGAAAGCATGGCGATCTACTAGGACTGTACTGCCTGCTGACATAAAACCTATTTTAACTCATGTAACTATATTCTGTCATGTGTAAAATCATCTCATAGCAAATTATTCAAAACATAACCCCATCAGTAAGCAACGTATGATGAAACACACCCTAAATTTTTTAGAGGTCCTTGACCTAAAACCCTCTAGGAGCTGAGTATGGCCCAGCTGGGTCCTAGCAATCTGGCTAGAAATGGAAAAGAGCTGGACAGGGGGCTGCAAGTTTAAAGTCCTGAAAAGACAAGCAAAGGGATTAAGCTCAACTCAGCATCTCAATTCAGAAACCTGAATTGTGGTTCTTTTTTATGTTGGAGAGGCTAAGATACCAGGTTCACACTGTCGGCAATAGTTACTTTATTTTGCTTTTTGAGATAGGTTCTGAACAGCCTTGGGTCCTAAAACTTATTACATAAACCAGGCTGGCCTCAAACTCAGAGAGATCCACCTGAGTACTTGAGAGACTAAAGGCATATGCCACCATGCATAGCCTTATTCTCCTTTTTTTTTTCTTTTTACCAGTAATGCATCTTTGTTTTAAATTGATATTTATTGAGCTCTACATTTTTCTCTGCTCCCTTCCCTGCCTCTCCCCCCACCCGCTTCAATTCTTCCACAAGGTCTCCATGCTCCCAATTTACTCAGGAGATCTTGTCTTTTTCTACTTTCTACTTCCCATGTAGATTATATCTATGTAAATCTCTCTTAATGTCCTCTCTCTCTTTTGGTTTTTCGAAACAGGGTTTCTCTGTGTACAGCCCTGGCTGCCCTGGAACTCATTTTGTACACCAGGCTGGCCTCATTCTCAGAAATCTGCCTGCCTCTGCCTCCCAGAATGCTGGAACTAATAAAGGAGTGCACCACCACCGTAACTACATTTTTTTTTTTTTTTTGGTTTTTCGAGACAGGGTTTCTCTGTGGCTTTGGAGCCTGTCCTGGAACTAGCTCTTGTAGACCAGGCTGGCCTCAAACTCACAGAGATCCGCCTGCCTCTGCCTCCCGAATGGTGGGATTAAAGGCGTGCGCCACCACTGCCTAGCCGTAACTACATTTTTAAATGTAGTTTATTTGTTATCTCACAATGAATAAAGCTCATAATGGTAGTTCTGAATGGCTTTGCTTAACAAAAATGGATCAACCTTATACATGCAATCTTGTATATAAAAGATTATAGAGGCTGGGAAAGATGGCTCAGTGGGTAGAGTACCTGTCTGAGGACCTGACTTTAATCCCTGGGATCCACATGATAGGAGAAACAACTCCACAGTTGCTGTGCTACTTATGCACCTAAACACACCTGCACACACAGTCCTGTTGGGTTTTTGTTATTTTTGAGAAAAAGTCTCACTGCATAGCCCTGGCTGACCTGGAACTCACTATATACACACACAAAGATCTACCTTCTCCAGAATGCTGGGAATAAAGGCATGTGACCATACCTGGTGGGAAAAAAAAAATGTTCTTTGTTTTTTGTTTTTCAGTTAAAAAGATGTCACAAATAAGGCCAGGAAGGGGTGGTAGTACATGACTTTTAACCTCAGCATTTGGGAGGCAGAGACTCAGTTCCATGCCAGTCAGGGCTACATAATGAGACTATGTCTCATAAAAAAAAAAATAAAAGAGGCAAAACAAAAAGCAATGGGAAGCAGAGAGCAGATTGTTGAAAAACCTTCACAATCAAGTACATGTGATCTGTGTCCAGGTAGAGGGTTTTTGTTGTTGTTGTTGCCGTTTTTGTGAGACAGGGTTTCTCTGTGAACAGTCCTGACTGTCCTGAAACTCACTCGCTCTGTGGACCAGGCTGACCTTGAACTCATAGAGATCCACCTGCCTCTGCCTCTGGAGTGCTAGGACTATTTATTTTTAAAATTTATTCCTGGGGCTGGAGAGATGTCTCAGAGGTTAAGAGCATTGCCTGCTCTTCCAAAGGTCCTGAGTTCAATTCCCAGCAACCATATGGTGGCTCACAACCATATGTAATGGGGTCTGGTGCCCTCTTCTGGCCTGCAGGCAGACACACAGACAGAATATTGTATACATAATAAATAAATAAATATTTAAAAAAAAATTATTCCTTTTCATGTGCATTGGTGTTTGCCTACACGTATGCCTGTGTGAGAGTGTATGATTCCCTGAAACTGGAGTTATAGACAGCTGTGAGCTGTCATGTGGGTGCTGGGGATTGAACCCAGGTCCCCTGGAAGAACAGCTAGTGCTTTTAACCTCTGAGCTCTTTCTACAGTCTGGTACTCCTTCCTGACTATGCTGCCTTGTGAAGAAAAAAGGCTGCATTCCTTGCAGTATCCTATAGCCTGGTTGTCTGTTGGCCTTGTTACTGTTCTAGCCTGGTTGTCTGTTGGCCTTGTTACTGTTCTTCCAAAAAAGAAAAACTTTTGGTTCTCCAATGTTAACTTAGAAAATCAAACACAGGTTCCAGTGACCCCTGGTTAAATTATTTTGTATGGTATACATGAAAGGAGATGCTACGTATCTTGTATTGCATTAGGAAGCATTTAATGCCAGACTGCCTTTGTATCAAGGAAAACAGATATCAGATATAGTACCCCCACCTCCTTTGTGCTATAAGATCAAACCCAGGACATGTACATGCTAGTCAGTGCTCTACCACTGAATTACATACTCAGTCACTGTTCGTAGCCTTTTTCCTCTTGAATTAAAAATTCCAGGCACGAGCCTCAGAGAGGGCTCAACAGGTAAGGATGCCATAAAGCCTGATCCCTAAAGCCCACACCGTAGAGAACTGGCTCCCACATCATGTTGGTCTTAGACCTCCACATGAGGGCCATGACACATGCACACCTACACACACACACACACACACACACACACACACACACACACACACACACAATAAATGTAAAAGAGCCAGGTGGTGGTGGCGCATGCCTTTAATACCAGCATTCGGAAGGCAGAGGCTCTGTGAGTTCGAGGCCAGCCTGGTCTACAGAGTGAGCTCCAGGACTGAATCCACAGCTACTGAGAAACCCTGTCTCAAAAAAGACAAAAACAAAACAAAAAAGGAGCAGCAGACAGGAAACCCTCTTGCACCCTGTTCTGATGTCCATCTCTAGCTGAGTGAGAAGAGATGGATGACACCTTGAGACTTTTCAACATAATGACCAAACCAACTTTGTAACTGTAATTTCCCCTTCCTGAGAAACTTAACAAACCAGATTTTTATTTTATTTTTTTCTAAGATCTATTTACTATGTATACAGTGTTCTGTCTGCATACTAGAAGAGGGCACCAGATCTCATTATGGTGGCTATGAGTGACCATATGGTTGCTGGGAATTGAACTTAGGACCTCTGGAAGAACAGCCAGTGCTCTTAACCTCTGAGTCATCTCTTCAGTCCCCACACCAGATTCTTTTAAGTTCATTATCCTTATGACTGATGGGTTGTTTTTTGCAAAGGCGGCTGGTCCAGAAGTACAC